CTTAGGGATTGCCACCTGGGAACGTAGGATTTGTCACCTGGGAACTTAGGGCTTGCCACCTGGGAACGTAGGATTTGTCATATGGGAACTTAGGGCTTGCAAAATGAGAATTTATTTTAAAAAAAACAACATGTCTTATTTTTTGTCACCTTAAAAATTCCGGCTTACTGCAAGAAGAGTTTTCTACTTTCTTCAACTTCATGAACAGTTCTGTGCTGTCATCCACTTCATGAACAGCTCTGTATCATCTGCTTCATGAACAGTTCTTTGCTTTCATCTACTTCATGAACAGCTCTGTGCTGTCATCTCCTTCATGAACCGCTCTGTGCTGTCATCTACTTCATGAACCGCTCTGTGCTGTCATCTACTTCATGAACCGCTCTGTGATGTCATCTACTTCATGAACAGCTCTGTGCTGTCATCTACTTCATGAACCGCTCTGTGCTGTCATCTACTTCATGAACAGCTCTGTGCTGTCATCTACTTCATGAACAACTCTTTGCATTCGACAAGCGAACCAACGTCATTAAAGAAAAACAATCTATAAAAAATGCCATTAGTTGTTTTTTTCATTAAAATATCCCTTTGAATGATGACCCACCTTGATTAAAAACTCTTATGATGAAATAGGGCTTCTGAACTATTGATGTCTGGCTCTACAACCAAATAGGTTTGACCCAGTTTGTCAATGCTTCCAATCTCATACACTGCACAGCCCTCTAACGGCCATGGGAGTAATTTTTATGAGTATGCCCTTTAGGTCCGATGCGACATATTACGTAGCGACTTTAATCGGATTTAACGGAATCGATCAGATGACCTGGGTCACCGAGGTCATAAAATCAAGCGCCATCCAGTGGTTCTAAACAACTTGATATCGCGGATCGTTTTTAGAAAGTTGTCGGGAACACCTGGATCACTGGAACCAACATTTCAGTTGATTATTTCTGAATCAGGACATACATAGATTTATAGATATAGATAGATTTAAAGTCGCTTGAAATTAATCAGTTAATCTGCAAGAGACCAACCAACCCCCTGCCCCCAATTTAAGACTCACTGCTTTCAAACAAAATTACAGCGTCTTTAAAAGTCGAGTCAAGTATGGGTTGAATTTGTGAAGACTTGCAGGGGATTGATTTCAACACTACTGATCAACTTCTCTGAACGCTTGGAAGAATTAAACAACTGTAAAGTTTTAAGGTCGTTGCGTACAGCGGTCCTCAAAACAATAGCCACTCTCTCGGTATGTACCTTTTCTTCAAAATCTCTCTCTAAAAAAATTGTTTTCTTTGTTTCGCTGTTTTAGTCAGGGACGTAGCTGCCTGGGAGGGGGTGGGGGTCCAAGGATTTGGACCTCACCCCCAACCCCCACCCCCCGGTGGTTTCAAAAAAATTTTTCCATTACTTAAAACAGAAAAACAGAGAAGTATAATAATATATGGTTCAAAGAAATGGCTAAATGACATCTACGCCCCTGGTCTTAGTAAAACTAAAACAATAAAAAAAACATTTTAAACTAGGTTGACATTCATATACAAAGCAATTAAGAACCTATGCACTATGGGAGAAAGTGAACTGTGGTGTTAATTTTTTTTTTTTTTTTTTTTTTTTTTTTAAATTTTTTTTTAAAAGGACTTTGGTAA